TTCTACTGTGTATGATTCTTTCTTCCCTGAGAGCACGTCTACACATGCTCCCTATAGGGAGCAGCCCAATACAGGGCTGCTCCTACCCTGCTCTGGCCCCCTGATTCTATGATTCCTTCTAAATTTCCCATCACCTTCATGTACTCCACCAATTCTTCCCTACTGGTCAGGACAAGATCCAAGATAGATGATTACTTAATCATGTCCTCAGCTTTCTGGAACAGAAAATTGTGTTCCACACAAATAAGAAATTGGCATTACATTTTATTTTTTACTGTATTTCTGTTCTACCAGATGTCTGGAAAACTGAAGTCTCCCATCTCATAGTTTTTGGATCATTTTGTCACCTTCTTGAATAGTGCCTCCTCTACCTCTTCTTTCTGACTTGGTGGCCTGTAATAAATCCCCATCATTAAATTGGTGCTGTTCTTTTCACAGGCAGCAGCTTCCAACTCATCTTGTTTATTCCCTCCTTATTAGGTTTTTCAGATGACAGCCAAAGATGCTTTTTCCAGTTCTGGTCAGATGGATCCCATCTCTTGGTAGCAGTCGTCCTCCAGATGCTAGAATATCTGCCTGTTGTTAAAGACTCTAAAGCCTTTACATTTACATCACTGTCTCTGCCTTGCATTTACTTCCAGGATGTGATAGTCCTTGCTTAGGCCCTTGCCTTCCACAGGGAGGATTGATGAGAACACTACTTGTGGTCCAAGCTCTTTAACCCTCCTGCCAAGAGCTGCATATTTTCCTCCAATATGCTCAATGTTGTTCCTGACAGTGTCATTCCTGATAGAATGCCACGTGAACATGCATCTTAACAAATATCCATATTTTAAATTCATTTAGTATTTGAAAAATGTCATTCCTATAGATATTAACAGATATTTAGTACCTCTTTGTGTGAGTCATATGTGAAACATTCTGAATGTTCATACTGTGAGCCTTACTGTTTGAGTCATGTGAAAGTAAAAGCATGTTGTCTCTCTCACCATTCTCGTTCTGATAGTAGATTTCAGTGATAACATCATGTTTAAGAAGTAGCATAGTGTATAAGTCTGACTGGAGCTGTATCATAGCACAATCTACTCTAGTGTTTGCAAAGATGGACTACCTTGGTTTCCTTATTGTTCTCCAGTTATATGAAAGTAAGATCAATTTTTTTCTTTAATAAATAGACACTTTTAACTTTTATTTTATTTATATCTATCTATCTATAGATAGATATATATAAAATAAATATTTCTGTTCAGCTTTGATAATTTTTAGGCCATTCAGATAAACTAAGGGTTATAAGTAATGATAATTTACATGTAAGATTTTCCCCAGCTTTTGTGATTTTTTTTTTTTCTGCTATCCTTGTCAATATCTAAATTTCCTGTTTGGTTTTAAAATACTGCCAGTGTTAATTTTGACTTTGAAATGCTCAGGCTGAGTATATGTATGTGTTTCAGTCACAGTGGAAGGAAGATTTGTGGATGTAACTGTAAAACTTGCCAGTAATATGCAGCTGGAATGTATATATCCAAAGAATGCCACTATAACCCAGATGTCATGGATTAAGTGTAATGAGACCAACAAAGAAGCAATAGCCACCTTCCATCCATCCTACGGTGTACATATTGATGACAAGTATAAAGACAGAGTTTACATTGTAAATGCTTCATCAGAAGACAAGTCTCTCTATTTCACCAAGACCAGTGCAGCAGACACAGGCTTTTATTCCTGCTCCATTCAAACTTTTCCAGATGGACTTTGGGAAAAGATAATACAGGTCATCCAATCAGGTAGGCAAACCCTTTTGCTGTTTTACAATTTGGTGGTGTGTGTGTGTGTGTGTGTGTGT